CCTTAAAAATGATTGAGATTGGTATATGATCTAAACATGATAAATTATGGTACGGCAAACACACAAAAGAAAAGCAAGAATTTACTTACAAAACGTCAGAGATACTCAAGCTGTAGAGTGTAAGCTCTGAAGTATCATGAATATCTTAAAAAGAAAGAAGACGCAGGCTATTAATTGCGTTTCAACATCAATACATATACGACGAAAAAAAACCGCATTTACATGCATGTAGTGACTTTATTACGAAGTTCCACGTGTCTGAAATAAAATTAAAACACCCTCAGAATTTATTTTTAAATTAAATTCAAAATCGAACTTAAAATTAATACATGTATTATGATTGTATACTACTTTCTAAAACAAATTGTGTATTTAAAAAAAGGGAAAAAAACGTTTCCCAAGAATAGTCTATGAAGCATAGTACTACGGCGGTAGATTCTTTTTTTTTTTTATAAAATTGAAATATTGTAATCCAAGTAATAAATAATGTGCGCATTTATTTGTATTTTGTATTTATAAAATAACATCGTAAATCTGATTTGAAGCAATCAGAATAGCTTGAAATAGGCCTATAGGAATGACTTCAAAGTGACTGTGTGCACCTTTTCAATGATAGAATCTTCCGTATACGAGGGCCGTTTAAAAATTACGCGGACTTGTTGCACAGAAAAACTATTTGATGACATAATCGGGCAAAATATGACACATAATAAAAAAGAATCTTTACTTAATGGTCTTAAAAATTTCATATCAAAATATTGTAAATTGGTATCAATTTTGAGTGATTTTTCAGGACATGTCATTAAATCATGGAGCAGCAAAATCGTCGACGTCACAGGCATTATAAAAAATATGTGATTGAGCTTTCATCTTCTCTACTTTTTCCCAAGAGTACCTGTATAGTTTGAGTTACCTTATCTACTCAACATCCAATCACCATTTCTTGTCAAGCTTAAAATCTATTAAACAAGTAAAAAATATTCTTTTTTGTTTTAAAACCAAAAACTACAGGTATTTATGAGATATAAGGTGATATTGGTGACTCTCAATCACGTTCTTTACATTCCGGATAAAGTTTTTGTCTTTTATCTTCTTCCCTTCCTCCCTTATAGCCTTTTTACAGAGGTCTAACGGTCTAAAATTTCAATTTGCTATTTGTGGACGAATGTCACGAATACCCTAGTTTACTACATGTTTCATTTTGGATCTATGTTGGCGATGTCTCGAGCATTACACATTATTTAACAAAAGTGCGATGCGCGGTCAATTCAGCAGACCTCATTTTTACAGTCGTTTTCACGGGAATTGCATCACAGAAAAATCACTATATTTCTGTTAGCACATCAGATATCACGTCAGAAATCTAAATACATAATAATAGAACAATTTAAAGGTACATTTGAGAAAACTGTGGAAAATAAATCACGAACTTGAAAAGAATTAAATATTTGATTTCGCATGCTTTTGCTTCAATGTTTTTGTCGTGCTCCATACCTCTCAATCAGCGATATCAACATACCGATAATTTTAGTAGAATTTTTTTAAAATACAGAAATTTTGCCCAAAATTAATTGGAATCTTTAAGATACATATTTATGTGAAATTTCATAACTATATGTCGTCTGTAAAAGTAAATAATAGCACAGTCTGCGTAATTTTTGAACGGCCCTCGTAAATCCAGAAACATGCCACTTGCGGCCGTGATATCCTGATTTAAAAAAAACGAAATTATAGACTTATAAGGGTAGAATTTAACATTAGTTTTAGTGTAATTAAAATAATTGTCACTCAGTTTAGGCAGATCATTGTAAGCAATGTTAAACGATAAGTCATCCTGTATCACCTTTCAGTTTAACCGATGAACTCGTCCATGGATGCAAGTTACCTGAGATCCCTACGCAAAGAAAAGCGCGAAATCTCTGAATAGATTATTTATTCGACATAGAAAAGAATCCAACATTTAACCCTTAATATCTTAGAATATATAGACATTTTCAGCAAAAGCTTCATTTTTGTCTCTTGAAATGTTTTTATTTACTCAAATGTTATATTTTCGTAAATCGATGACCTAGCATCGTTTTTGATAACTCAAGCTCTTCTAGGACTTGAGTAAAAAATAATTTCAAAAACAGAAACTCATTTGTCAAACCAGTTTGTTTGTACTGAGTTCACATTGACAGGGGTTGAGACATTATTTGATTTTACATTTGTTTTTGTTCGATTGTATATTGTTTAACGTCCCTCTCGGGAATTTTTCACTCATATGGGAAGCTACAACCTGCTGGTGGCATTCGTAATACAGTACATAAACTATTATCTTTACGTCTTGTGCAAATACTTGAACACAGAAACAGTAGAATTGTTCCTTCTTCCAACCCAGAAATTGTGTTGATCATCAATACAGAGAGCACAGGGATTTCGAGGACATCGATCTGGTGTGAGTAGGAAAGACAGGAACTGACCATTAATGTCCAGCAGGTGGACACTTGAGTAATTCTTACTAAAGCCATTGCACACTAATACGTGTCCAAGAACATTTGCACAGATTCCATAAGGATGGAATCCAGACTGAGAGTGGTGACCAGAGTAAGAAAACCGATATTCTCCTGTTGCAGTCACCACCACAACTTTAGCAGCATCCAAGTCTGATGTCCAGATATCACAGTTGATATTCTCTGTGAGGTAGTAAATACTTTGATAAAGATTTTGTCCTTTATCATCCCACTGTATGTCTTGTAGCTTTTTTCCTTCTCTACTGTATCTGGTTATCCTCATGAATTTATTTTTCTCCATCCCAACCAGTATGTGTTCATTGATAAGAGAGGAGTAGATGGCTCCAGGTATCCATTTCCCTGTCTCAATTAGTTTGTTGATGGACATGTCATTAGTTACTCTGTAGACAGTGTTTGCACTGTTATCTGTGCAAAGAAGTTCTCCCTGTGTGGTGACTGAGTGGTTACCTTGGAAATACCTTGAACTGATGTGTATATTATTTGATGAGACGTTTCCTTCATACTGAATGAGATATCCTGAGACATCACTAGCCCAAAATTTATCGAGAGCCAAGGGAGACAAATGATAAGCATGTCCCTGGATAGCTATTTCACTTTCTTTTGTGACAGAGGAAAGCTGAAACTTTGCAGATGACTCTAGTTCAATTCCACCAAACTGCTTGGATATTTCTTTTTTATTTAGTGTACCTACTGTGAAAATAGGCAATTCTGGTTTAGCTTTGTTAGGCATCTTCACAGTAGCTAATGAAATATCTAGATGGAATTTGATTAATTCAGTGGGATTTATTGATGACATTTTACTCTCATAGTCTACAATCATTTTTTCCAGGTACTTTATGTAGTCCTCTATTTCCTTCTGATGTTCCACCATAATATTTAGCACAGAGTTCTCGATCTCATCCAGTATTTTATTATTATCAGTTAGTATATTGTCAACAATGTCCTTCATTTCATCTGCTCTCTTCTTCATGGAAAATCTTACCTTGGCAATTTCTTTCTTGACATTATCCCTCTTTTCTAAAATTGATTTGACATTATTTTTAGCCCCAGGAATTGCTTTTTTCCAGATCTCAGTTATTTCCCTCTGACATTGCTGTAGAATTTCATTGTAGATATTTTCAAGGTCACACTTTTCATGATCACCGTGGTGCTGGGTAAAGCAGGTAGAACAAATAGGATTCTGACAATCATCGCAGTAGATATCTATATCTTGTGTTGGGTGGGTCATGCATTTTTCTGACGGAAGTTTTCTTTTTTTCTCCTGATAAAGGACAATCTCATGTCCTTTGTTCTTCACTAGGTGGCGCTGTTTGCAATGGCCACAGAATCCCTGATGACAGGTATTGCAATAAAACTCAGAGAAGTTTCTACAAGATTTTATGTCACACTCGATATAGTGCTGGGCTGTATCTGGTACATGTAGTTCATCCATTTTTGTTTATCAAATCTGTAAAAAAAAAATCATTATTATCATAGTGAAGGCGAGGTACTTATAAGTTGGTTTATCTTACAACACTTGCTAGATGCTACCTAAACTTATTACCTTTTATATGATGTAGCTGGAAAATGAATATCTTTTACAATATCCCACATTCATGATTAGTGTCAGTCATTGGTAATTTATGTGCATTTAAGAAGAACGCAGTATACTACCTTCTTCAAACAAAAACATTTAAATCTCTTTGTATTCTTTGCAAAGCTGCGGGATTTAAAGAAAAAGGGGTTCCAATAATTTAAAGAAGATAAGGGTAGCATGAAAAGGTGACCATAATGTTAAACAATATTGGCTGGTTCTTTGTTTGCAATTAAATGATAAAAAGAAGTGGTTCATATAATCCTGATGGTTATGAATTGACCTCATGCTCATGTTTTGTTTTAAACTAAAGGAATTCATGCATTTTAGGAAGAATTTGCTGAGAAAAAAAATGACGTTAACCCTTTGACAATCGTATCTGTCAAATCCGACCGATAAGCCTTTTTTTTCTAGCGTAACTCTAAAAAATTTCCAAAAGTCAGGTACCATTTTAATCTTGAGACTCTATAGAAGTTTATTTTTTGCAAAAACCTATAAAATATAAACATTTATTTCTTAATTTACTCTGACTTAATTACGAGAAAAAACTTCGAAATTAAAATGTGCTTTTTCTACAGCATTCCTCCTTATTGTAAAAAAATAATGTTTTCAAATAAAAAATTACCTAAGAATCAGGAAAATTTTAAGAAACTATTCATATATTTTTTTTCCGCAGAAATGTATTGAAAGAAATGAAAAATTCAAATGTTTATTGCAGTGGTCAAACTGGTATTGGCGTAAAACATGTAATTTTAACAATCGACTTTAAAATTGTATCGACAAAAAGTAAAGGCGTATTTGGAAAATGTGAATTTAGTTGAGAAAAGTAAAAGAATGTAGCTTTTATTTGGTACATGTTTTAAAGTTCTCAGTTGAATAAATCCCATACATATCCACGCTTGATATGTTTTAGGGGAGACTACAGGACTGGGAAGAGATTAAACATGAGGAAAGTCATTCCATACATCGCCAGTCAGTTCAGGAAAGACAAAATCTGGCTCCGTCGTACCAAACCCAGCAAACGACAGTACCAGATCATGCTGGCTATAGACGACTCCTCAAGTATGGTGGACAACCACTCCAAACAGGTCTGTAATAAAAAAACATGAAGGGTAGTTCAAGATACAGACAGATTTAAAACAAAAAAACAAGGATAAATCAAACAAAAACGTCAAGGACAGAAACATATTAATTTAAATCAATCAAAAAATCAAGGATAAAGAAAAGAAATAACACACAAAAATAAATCTGATTTAAATTTATAGAAAGACATGCAAAATGATGGGGAAAAATAAATTTGTGTGGATGATTTTTCATGTCTATGTCAAAAGAAATACCAGTCAGGTTTTAGTAACACAGATTTATTTTCTTTTAACAGTTGGCCTTTGAGTCCCTGGCGTTGATTTCTAATGCTCTGACTTTGTTAGAGGCGGGAGATCTAAGTATCTGCAGGTATGCTATAGGTCAATGTAAAAGTAAGTTTCTGTTAATGGGAATTTAAAAAAAAGATTATAGTATGAATTTTGAGTTCATTTTTTAATAAGCAAAAATTATATCCACAGTTTTGGAGAGTCTGTACAAGTCCTTCACCCGTTTACTGAGCAGTTCACAAGTCACTCCGGGTCCAGATTGTTACAGCAGTTTACATTTGAACAGAAGAAAACCAAAGTGGCTCAGGTAGGACTGAAAAGATGTTAGCACATGTGCACCAAATGTAGCCAATAAAAGTTATGACAACAGGTCTGTGTACTACATCATTCTTAGTTACTCTATTCTCCTTTCAGCTTTTGAAGAAAGCCACATCAGTGATGCTGGACGCTCGGTCCCGACAGCGGGGAATGCTGGGTAATCCTGAGACTTCACAGTTACTGCTGATCGTGTCTGATGGGCGGGGCTTGTTTAATGAGGGAATGGAGACGGTCAGATCGGCCGTCAGACAGGCGCGGGAGGCTGGGGTGTTCCTGGTGTTTGTTATCATTGATAATCCCCAGAACAAGGTACATAACTCCCGTATTCCCAATGTTCTATTTTTGGATAACTTGAGTGGAATGAATTAATGTTTTTCATATTACTTTAAATATTATATATCATATGTTTCCAATTCCAGGATTCTATATTAGATATAAATGTCCCAGTTTTTAGAAGCAGAAGCCAGGTAAGAACTCAACAAATCAGAGATGGATTAAATTATAAGTAATCAATAGCAAGCCTCTATGCTCTTTATGTCACTAAAGTAAGTAACATTGTGGTCCCTCATCCTCTTGTTGTTGATGTTTTCCTGAAAATTATTTCTTTACAGGAATTTTGTAATCATTTCCTATAAAAAGGGAGAGGGCAGATAATGTTTTAAAAACTTTGTGTTCAATCCAAATATCTTAGTTATTATAAAAAATAAAGTATGTTCACATCAAGGGGAGAACTGCAAAAGTTTTTTCGCCTGGAATGACAATAAATTATGTTTGTTCATTTTACTGACTTTGATGGCACGCATAGTAATGTTCAAGAAAATAGTCATGTTGACTTAATATGTACAATTCATTTGTATTTGTCAATTTCAGCTTCCAGAAATCAATCCCTACATGGATTACTTCCCTTTTCCTTTCTACATCGTACTGCGAGACATTAACTCCCTTCCTCACGTGTTGTGTGACGCCTTAAGACAATGGTTTGAACTTGTGACAGCAGTGGATGTTTAATTTATTCTGTGTAGATTCTGTGTAATGCCTTTTACACACCTTGTTTAAAGCTGTATCAGAGGTGCTTTATTATTAATTATGTGTAGATGTTATTTGATGACGTGTGACAATGGTTGATCTTGTAAAAGCTGAGTATGATTATCCTGTGTAGATGTTATTTGATGACGTGTGACAATGGTTGATCTTGTAAAATTATGATGATCCTTGTATTATAATACAAAATCTTAGCTGTGTATGATTATTCCTGTGTAGATGTTATTTGATAAAACTGTAAGAATGACAATGGTTGATCTTGTAAAAGCTTGATTATTGCTGTTTAGATGTTACATTGCTGTGTAGATGATTATTTTGTGATGTATAACAACGATGTAAAAGCTGTGGTGATTATGGTTGAATATATTCTTGCTACCACAAAAAAGAGCTAGAAGCAGAGATGATTATGCCTGTGTAGATGTTATTTGATGACGTGTGACAATGGTTGATCTTGTAAAAGGTGTGAATGATTTATTCTGTGTATATGTTACACATGTATTTGATGCCGTATGACAATGGTTGATCTTGTAAAAGCTGTGGATGATTATTTCTGTGTAGATGTTATTTGATGCCGTATGACAATGGTTGATCTTGTAAAAGCTTTGGATGATTATTGCTGTGTAGATGTTATTTGATGCAGTATGACAATTGTTGATCTTGTAAAAGTTGTGGATGATTATTCTTGTGTAGATGTTATTTGATGCCGTATGACAATGGTTGATCTTGTAAAAGTTGTAGATGATTATTCTGTGTAGATGTTATTTGATGACGTGTGACAATGGTTGATCTTGTAAAAGTTGTAGATGATTATTCTGTGTAGATGTTATTTGATGCCGTATGACAATGGTTGATCTTGTAAAAGTTGTGTATGATTATTCTGTGTAGATGTTATTTGATGTCGTATGACTATGGTTGATCTTGTAAAAGTTGTAGATGATTATTCTGTGTAGATGTTATTTGATGCCGTATGACAATGGTTGATCTTGTAAAAGTTGTGTATGAATGGTTGATCTTGTAGATGTTATTTTATGTCATTTGTATGATCTTGTAAAAGCTGTGGATATTTATTGATCTAGTGTAGATGCTTTGTTGTAGATGATTATTCTGTGTAAATGTTATTTGATGTCGATGTGACAATGGTTGATCTTGTAAAAGCTGTGGATATATTATCCTGTGTACATGTTAACCTATGATGTGATGAAAAAGAGGGAAAATAAGATTATTTGATGCCGTATGACAAGATCTTGTAAATGGTATGCATTGTGCAAGATGTTATTTGATGCCGTATGACAATTTAACTTCTTGATTATCCTGTATATGGATGTGCTGTGGTTTGAGAGGGCATATGTAAATATACATGATATTATATAAGTGTTAAATAAAAAAAAAAATGATTAAAAAAATGGACATACAAGTTATAGAATTAATCTATTGTAACAATATTTAATATCTTTTTAAATATTTTGTTTCTAGTGAAACATTATACCATGTTATACACTTAGTCTAGATAAATATTCTTTTTCACATTTCAAAATTTGATGATAATATTAATGTACGCTCCCAAGTGATAAGAGAGCTGAAAAAAATTAGTTTATAATTTTTGGACGAGAAGTGTTTTTATGAGTCATTTTTGTTATAAACAATAAACCATTGTATGGGCAGCATTTTGATAGAACTTTTCACAAGACCAGTAAGACACTTGTAAAATTTACTATAATATGGTTTGACAAAGTAACAGTTGATAAAAATGTCAAATCGTGTATGTGAAAAGGGGAGGTTGAAACATGCATGTGTGATTTTTAGTTTATCAACTGAAAGTATGCCATGAGGCACATTATTCGAATTGAACTTTGTTTGAGGGATGTTACTGTTTCTTTGGTTAATGTTGAAGTTAAGTTGTTAAGCGAGGCCTCTAAATACTGGAAAATAAAGTATTTTTCAATGTGTCATGTTTTGACAAAAAACAGTTTGCCAGAGAACTGAGAGTATAAGTAACATTAAAAGTTTTGTCAAGTTTGTAGAGGTTTCCTGAGCAGTTAGGAACAGAGGGGTGAAAATTTATTTAGATGGGAGGTAAAAGCTAGTACTTATAACTAATTTTCACTGCAAATACTGAATGAAAATTTGATAAACAGATTTTTGTGTTGGATACAGTCGAGGAATTTTGAACAGTTTTATGCTCCCTGGTACACATTATACTACAGGACATGATAAACAGGAAGCAATATTGAAAGTGAAACATTATAAGGCGATACTAATATTTAAAACGTTAGTAAACAAGCATTTAAGATGAGCTTTAAGTTAAACTTATCGAAGGTTTTATAACTACAAATCTTTATTTGAAAACTTTAACTGCATTGCATAAAGAAATTCTCACTCTTTTATGCTAGTAAGTAAGGTGTGATCGTTTTGCTATTTGATATGTTTAGATCTCTTTAGGCTTGTTAAATTACAATTATTTATATTGTAGACTGCCTACTGGAGATGTTATCAATAAATCACCTGACCTGTCACATGACCTGTCACCTGACCTGTGTACGTGGCAGAGTCTGCTGTCTGTCTGTATGTTGTATATGCATCTCTCTACACCAGACACACTCCCACTGCGCTCCCGACTCTTACAGCAGATGTTAGAGAGTTACAGGGAGGCACTGAGTAGGTCAAGATCAAGTTCTCTGCTTGACGACACTAAAAGTCACCTTGAACTTGTACAGGGTGTCATGGGACAGGTGGTGAACGATGTAAAGAGTCTGGTGCTGGAGAAATACAGAAAAATTGATAATGGTAAGTTCGAATTGTTACATGTAGCAATACATTTATTTTTCAAATTTTCTCTATAAATTCATCTTTTAAAATGTTGTATAATATCATACATGTACATAAAAGAGAATAACAGCAAACAAAGTTCAGAATAGTTACTTAATGGTTTTGATGAATAAGTTCTGAATACACTAATGTTCTGTTCATCAACTGGTGTCAGACAGTACTATATGGACCCCCGTCATTGTCCCCAGGTTCTGAGGTCTGTCTGGGAGGGAGATAGTTTTGTATGGGCTGGTGTCTCACGTCAGTAGGAGTTTAGCTGTAGGGGGCTCCACAAGGGGACAGACTGAAGAAATTCTTAGGGGGTAGTTCAATATCTACCAAGCAATAATAATACTTTGCTTCTATGATTTTTTTTTTATTAATGTTACACGGTACTGTGCAATGTCATGTATTTGTGTTGCCCTTTATCTAATTTTTGAAAAAAAAGAGTAATTTTGATCATATTTGTTTGTAGATGGGAGCAAGGAGAATTTTGAAGTAGATTATCGGATCCTTGAGAATCTGATGATAGACATAATACAGACATAATACATACAGATAAAAATCCTTCAACAATTCAACCAATTAGGTAAAGACAAGGAATTCCAAAGCATAATTAAGGTATGTTTCTGAGTTTTCACTCCTCTTGACCCATATAGCTATTGATAGTGTTCAAATCACTAATTCACTTCACAATTTTAAAAAACATTCAAGATTCAGTTTTACCTAACCATAGAAAGCTGGATTTTCATTAAAGTTAAAATATTTATTTATTGGTTACTAGGTGATGGACAGGTTTATTGGGTTGCTAGGATGAGGGAGTCCTTGGTTACCTACACACAGGATCATGACCTTAACAAGGTCATTCTATACTACTCCTGGGTCAAGGACATACTTCTGCCTGTAATGGGTGACTGGTAAAGAAATAAGTCAAGTGAAAGGATATTGGAAAGATTTATTACAGTGGCATGTCAATAACTTGTTCAAGTGAATGAAAAAAATGTAGAACTGAAAAGAAGTCTTAAGTTATTGTGTTAAATTCATTGAAATCAAATTTTTTAAAAGACAAAAATAAAGAATTTAATTTTTTTTTCTCTGTGCTTTGATAATTGTTGATTTTGGCATTTCGACAGAAAATTTATGTTATACTGGAATTCTTTAACTGTGAGAAGGAAAACATAGATATTATGTATTCATTAAACATAGTTTTTCTACCTTTAGGTTTATGGAGTGTTTCCCACATCTGTACCAGGCAGGTGAAGTTCTGCTGTCAGGATATGAGGAGACAGATTGTTACATCAGGTTCTGGAATTCCCATGGTCACCCATCTCCTTACAGAACCCAGAGTGAGGCGGAGGACTGTTTGCCTCTAACTGACCTCTGTAAACTATCTGACATCCATAGAGAGGCTGCTGACCTCATTATGGAGTATAAAGTCCAGTTACGTCTAGACAGAAGGAGCGAACTCTTATCATTAGTAATCAATGCAGGGACTGAAGTGAAAGCTGGAATTGAACATGGTATGAATTTTGCTTGACTTTAACTGAAAAATAAATTCTTTTGTAAGATGGAAATTCTCTTGTTTTTAAGTTTACTTTTCAACTGAATTGGTTAATTACGTGTATCAGTTTTGCATATGCTGTTTTAATATAATTTGAACCTCATGATTTTATTTTTCCATTTCATTACCTATTGCAAATATTTGAATTGATCAACTTTCAGGCAATAACACAGAGACCATTGGAAATGTTAGAGAACTCCGGCAGCAATATAACCTGACACGAGAGGAAAGAAAGATAGTGGACAGTGCAATGGGAACGGACCAATCAGAATACAGCAATGTATTGTTACAGTTCAGTCAATCAACATCTGGGAAGAATGTTGACCTTTGGCTTCTTCATGATCACATGTTTGTTCTCTCTGAGCTGAAGCTAGTCAATAGAATGTTGACATCACTAGAATGTACTGCTTCACCAGAGATAGGGGCATTAGTTAACTATGGAAGCCAGTTTACACCTGTGTCACCAATGGCTTTAACAAAACTGAAAACCAAGTGTGAAGCCAAAAGTTAGGTAATCCAGTGTTTTATAATGAATCTGAGGTCATCTGAAATGTGTTAATGATTTGTGAATTAATCAATAGTTTCTCAGTCAAAAAAAAAA